AAAATTAAGTATATAATCTTAAGGATTTACTCTCTTTTACTTTTATCTAATACATAAGAGGAAGACGATAAAAAAACTAAAAGATGTTCACTTACGCAGAGTTTATTGAGCAGTGAATAAGAGAAAAGAAAATGAACGATATATAAATTACACGGGAGCACTGAAGGAAGTATAACGGTATTTACTGGGATTGAAGTAGACGCAGATCTTGACTGGTCACTCTTTGATCATCTCCTTTAATGCTTTAGATGATTTTTATTTTTTTTGTACCGTGACAGTGAAAAGAAAATGTAAGACTTAAGACAGTAAGACGCGTAAATATAAAAAAGGCAAAAATTGAGAAAGAACAAGAGGTGAAAGGAAAAAACATAACAAGTTAAGAAATAAATCCGGTCGACCAGAAATAAAGTTTGTAGCATTTAACGTTAAAATCTTACTGGTACGCATATAAATAGATAAATAGTCGATCGAAAAAGATCTAAGGACTTGTTTCAAGACTGCAAGGAAGAATATTTAACTTTTCAAGTTTATTTTATCAGTTGATAGTGTTAATTTGAATCATACCTTATACCATTCTTCTTACTGTTTAGAAAGTAAGTATTTCATTTTCCGTAATTCAAGATTTCTGTCAGATCACAAGAGATTCGGGCTCAAATTTATAAAATTACTGTCTAAAAAATACTAATTTGAATAGTTTATAAAAGAAAAAAACAATATACTATTTTTACTTTTACATTTTATCTTATATAAAATACGCAACTAAAAACTAAAAATTTTTTTATCAACAAAAAAGCGATTGCATGATTACATAAAATCGTAATAAATGTAAAGAGGAACCTCCCAGGTTTCTCAGTAGAGTCGTAACATAAGGCTTGACTGGGAATTGTGAAAGCTGTTCTCAATGCGTGGGTGTCAAAAATCTCACACACTATTCAACGCTGGTTTGTTCTTCTTTGATTTTTGTACGAAGTGTTATTTATTCGATTTTTATTATTATACCTACGGCGTAACGCTTGCATCTTAATGTATTAATGCCTATCCAAAGATTTATATCAAGAAGACACGAGTTAACTAACTCAAAGTGATTTTTCAGATCCCTACCCATTTAAGAACTGCCAGAGTTGAATGACGGGGCCTGGCCCAGTACTGGGCAACCAAGCTTGGCGCACCGATATTGGCACATGCTTGGGTCAAGACTGGGCAACCAAGCCTTGGCCGGCCCAATGATTACCCGAGGTTGAGCCAGAACTGGGTCCTTCAGCCACGGCCATTCAGTAGCGACCCAGACTTGGGTCAGGACTGGGCAACCTAACCTTGGCCAACTCAATATATATATTAAATTCAATTCATTTTGCAGTTGGTTACGTGATTTAATATCTGTCGTAAATGATAGACGTTGAAGACGCGTATCAAACTGTGAAAGATGTGCGAGTACAACAGACACCGCGATTTCTTTGACACTTGCACTTTTCCACTTTGAACAAAGAGACGCCAATAGACGACTTGAATATGAAGGCAAGCACTCACCATCTTTCGGACGACTGTTTGTAAATTTATTAAAGTGGCCGCCGATGTTTCTAGTCCACCAAATCTCGCGATAAATAGATCTTTAAATTCAGTCCACGTTATCCCAGAATAACACACTTGAGACAACCATGAAGATGCAAATCCTTGAAGAGCTTCACTTAACGCGATAATAAGTGCACTACCCTCCTGAGGACGTTCCGCGAAACACATATCCACGGTTGAACACCAAGCAGCTGGATCCGCACTTGAATTTTTAGGATTAAACTTTGGCAAAGAAATATTGCGATTAGTAGACACTGGTTTTGTTACAACCTTCATTAATTCTATCAAATTCCGATTTTGCATTTCCATTAGCAACTGGAACTGATTAGAAGAAAAACCCCGTAGCTGATCCAGATCCCACTTCTGATGTCGGAGGAACAGTGGTTTGGGCATTGTTGGAGTCCTTTGGATCATTTTCAGCCATCTTTATTTATTTCACAATAATCAAAATATAACACAAACTTCGATTTAAAATATAATATACACTAATTCGTACAAATAATAAATTCAACTACTAATGTTCTATTACAATTGATATAATAGGTAAAGACGCTAGGCAGTAAGACCGAGAACGAATTCGGGGTCAGCAGGATATGTGCGATGTCTTTACTTATAGCGTGAAATTCTTAGAGTAGTTTGTAGAATTAATCGTACTTCAGATTTTTTTTCTGAGTATTTTGCAAAATTATCACACAGCGGCATAACTAGAGTAAACCACTGTGAAACGTGCAATAGTATATTTATAGTAAAGAATAAAATCTGATGATTTTTATTTAGTTGAAAATTTGAAAACCGAATTGAATAATGTGCCATGCATATTGGGGATTTAATTTCTTTAGCTACTCAAAATAAAATAATTTAAGATCAATCATGCAAGTTTAAAACTAGTTGAAAAATTTAAAGACATAAAATAAACAAAAAGGATCTAATGGCTGGGAATGAAGTTAGAAATTACTGCATCTGCATCAAGCAGAAAAGAGCTTGTTTCTTTCATGATACAAGAGGTGTATAATTAAACGATATGGAAGAATAACTATATAAAAAAACGAAGAATATTATGAAAGAAGAAAGATCATAAAAAATGTACTCGCAATGTAATATTTATGGGAGCCAACAAAAATAACTTTTTTTAAAAAAAATTTGGAGCCAACGAAAATAACTTTTTTCATTAACCAAATAATTTTCGCTGCAAATTTAGGTCTATAATGTGTTCATCTGAAATTTTTACAACACGTTAAAAGATTTATTATCCCTTTTTATATTGTTATTTACGATAAATATTTTTTAATTTTAGATGGCTTTAGCAGTGTACTTATAAGTACGCTTCAAGGAGATCAATAAATCATTCCAAAAAGATCGAAGAACGACTGAAGAATTTTGCATGGGCGTATCAGAATCATAAAACTTTAAAATACGATAGTCCATCGTAGACAGTTTAATTGGTACGTTGTTGTCGTGGATACCAACTGTGATAAATTACACTATCAATACATTTGATTTTTCCAAGACTCTATTGATTATTCATTTTATTAGTCTATTTGTAAAAATTAAATGATGATATTATAACTATAAATAAGAAATTTCGAAGTATCAATTAAGTCATGGAAGATCAGCAAGAAAAGTAAATGAGTGAAAACTTAACAAGGAAAGATTCATTAATGACAAATATACACTATTTACAATGAAAAATGTCTAAAACAAGATTTCTTGACAAAACTACCAACATAATGTATTTGAAATACTCTTGTATATCTCAAAACTAAAATCACAAAATTTAGAGAAAAATTTTACAATAGATTGAATAAATCCACAAAAATTTAATAATTAAAGAAATTGACAATTTTTAGCTGTTTGTATAATTTTCTAATGAATTTTATAGTTTTTATTGTTAATGATAAATATTTAATATTGAACAATAAAAAAAATTGTTTCAATTTCTCGAATCATAAAGATGGTTTAAAGCCTGTAAATCGGTTTTGATTCGATTTTGATTCGTTAGGCAGCGTTCGAAGCAATTTTATAAGTTAGAACACTGTTCATGATGTCTTGAGTCATTTAGAATTCAAAAGAATTTAAAAGAATTCAAAAGAATTTAAAAGTTATCTCAAGAAAAACGATTATTTAAAAATTTTTAATTGGCTACAACTTTTGAACACATTCTTCAATTTTGACTGTTATTGTATTTCATATAAGTTAATAAATTATTAATGTATGGAATTTAATTGATCATAATGACGTATATTAAGGGCCAGTTTTTTAATCAATGATATTTTAATTTTAATCATTGATAGAGAAAACTGGCCCTAAGATCTTAATGTATAAATTGAAAACAAATCGATAAAGTTGTAACCCTTGAAGTTATCGCTACTTCATTTTTTATATTTTTTGTTTGTTTAATATAAATTGTTAACATTTTACATTTCGACGAAATTATTATTTTCAAGGTTTAAGTAATCATTTTAATAATTTTACACTCGTAAAAATATTGATTTTACAAGTGTATTTTTATACCTTATATCTATTTAAACAATTGTAATGCGTTTACAATTTAACTGTTAATAACCAAACAACCTGTCAGTTTTATCAAATAGTACCCTATCATTTTATGTAACTTGATCTAGCATACGACAATTCATAGCTAACAAGAAGACACGCAATGGCTATAAAGTGGATATGAAATGAACGTTGGATCTCGAGGGACAATCATCAAGGTAGTATGTCTACCCGCTTATTAATAACATCTGCCACGATAGCTTTTTATACTTTCTTGGCCGTGATGCAAAGGTTAATAACCATTGTAAGTTTACTATAATCAGACATTGGTAAGGGTCTTAATATGGTACGAACCTCGCCTGCAAAATTCCTTCATAATGGGTATGACCTACGACTTTATGACGTAACGACTTCCTTAACTTTTTTTTCTGTTTTATTACACTACGGCATATATTAAAATAATAAATAATACAATATTATTTATTTATATCGTATAATAAGATTTTAAAAATAGTTTATAATTAACTACATGATACATATTATATAAAACGTTAATATTTGTTGAATTAATTGTATGATTTGAATATAATTGGTATAAAAAAAAAAAATAAGTTCCTAATGAAAACAATATCGATTCATAAAAACGATCATTTGCAGTATAACGAATTAAAAAACTATGCTCGTGCGAAATCAAATAACTTTTACGACTGACAGGTCAATTTAATATCGCTTTAATTATAAATTGATGTTAGATATATATCTTTATGTATTTTGTTGATTGCAGTTATACCAAAGTATTGCGGAGTGATAAACTGGTGAACGCTGTAAGTTCTACAAAGAAGTTGAGAATATTTAAATAAAATGTGTTAATTATTACTATTATTATCATCATCATTGAATAATGAATTAAAATTAACGAATTTTTAACTAAAGAAATAATGTTTCTTTTAATAAATATTTTTGCATTATTACTTACTCAATCACTTACAACAGCATCAGGTATATTTTAAATATTAAAATTTATATTTATATTATTACCGTTTTTCTTTTAATAATCAAACTATTAATCTTATTGATTTGTACTTCGTGATTGTTGGTGCGATTGGAGAGTTAGATTCGAAGCCCCGACAGCTTGAATTCGATTATAAAGCTCCTGATAAGTGGAAAGATAAATTTTCATCCTGCGGTGGAAGTAACCAGTCACCCGTTAATTTAGATTTCAAAAAATTTCGGGAAGTTGTTGATCCACAGAAACTTCAATTTCATCACTACGATAATGTACCCAAAAAAATGATTATTGTCAATAACGGACACACACGTAAAAAGAAATTAAAAAAAATTATCCTTATAGTTTATTTCAAATTTTTTTATTTTAGATAGCTTTACTTTATAATTTTAGTGGAATTACGAGGTCAATGGCCGGATAACGAAATACCTTTTATTTCTGGGGGACCACTCCAAAGTCAATACATATTTAAGCAATTACATTTTCATTGGGGTATTAATAATCAAGAAGGAAGTGAGCATACAATTCATGGTAAAAGGTTTGTTTAAATTTAGTATCAATGATTATTATTTTTAGTTTTTCACACTTATCAATTTACTTTATAAATATTATAGTTTTCCACTGGAAATGCATTTGGTCCATTACAAAAAAGATTATGATTCTTTCAATAATGCGCTGAATCATACCGATGGGATTTCTGTTGTTGCAGTATTCTTTGATGTAATAACATATTTACGATAATATTAATCAGTATATTTTTAAGAGGTATCATGAAAAAATAACACAATCAACGGAGTTTGTAAGCTAATTTTATAATTTATGATTGACAAACTTTATGATTTTGGAATTATTTAGCATTTTTCACGTATCAAAGAAGAAATAATATTTATTACTATCGGTTGCATAATATTGATCATAATTTTAATTATGATTGGATATGAAATTTAAAAACAAAATTTAGGTGTATACAATTAATATATATAAATTTTTTGGTTCCATGAAGTTTTGCGGTAAATTGGCAATTTGAAATTTTTAGCTACAAATGAAAATAATCTTAACCTTTAGTGTCTGAAAGTTTTTTTAAAAAAATTCTATATTTATTCATCATTAATTTGATTACAACTACGTTTATTAGCTTTGTTGTTAAAAATATTGAAATACTTTTTTTTCAATCATTATTAAATATTAACAATTCCGAGAGAGTAGCGCTTAAATCAATAAATTTATCAAAAAAACTGTTTGTAGATGATAAATAGTTTAAGGGGAAGGGGGGGGGGGGTAAGGTTAATTCGTAAAAAAAGGCATGTTTTCAGACGTGTCTCAGAAAAAAAAGTAGAACTGTGGTGCCCCTCATAACTTGGTGCTGGATCATCTGAAATCAAAAAATAAATGTTCATATGTTAGTTAATAGTTTTTCCCAGGTAACGCTGTGAGCGTTTTCTCAAAAGTTCAATTTTTCACTTTTTTGGAACACTTTGAAGGCTCAAAGTAGCCGATTTCTTTTCGTAAAATTCGCGTTTTTCCATTCAAAGTTCCAAAACTTTGTTCCAAAAAAGTGAAAAATTGAAATTTCGAAAAACCCTCCCAGCGTTACCTGGGGAAAACTATTAACTGATAAATGAACTTTCTTTTTTTGATTTCAGATGATCCAGCAGCAAGTTATGAGGGGCACCGCAATTCTACTTTCTTTTTCTGAGACACGTCCGAATAATTGCTGCCATGGCTGTATTTTTTAATATTTCTTCGTGAAAATTTTATATAATGTCATATTTTAATGTACCATTAGTTTTAATTAATAAAGAGATTTTAGCTGCGTGGTCGCAAAAAAATCACAAAAATATGGCTTTTTGTGTACGAATCAACCTTACCCCCCCCCCCCCTCTTAATCGAAACTTAGATTATGAGATTGATTTAGAATTTTCATATAATTATTATTTTCTTTTTTTTGTTTCAAAAGATACAACCAGACGGGTCAGAGGGGATAACAGACGTCCTAAAGAATGCGTCTAATTTAGTGAATCCAAATACCGAAGTAAACTTAGAACCATTCGCTCTTTCGAACTTTGACGGAGTTTTTACTGCACCTAAATACGCCAGTTATTATGGCTCATTAACTACTCCACCTTGTACGGAGGCTGTAACCTGGATATTTCCAGTCTCCGTTTTGGATGTTTCTAAATATCAAGTAATTTAAACAAATTTAATTGTAAAAATCGTTAATAATGATGAATGTTAAACATAAATTTTTATACAATTAATAAATTTTTTTTTCTTTTAGATGAAAACATTAAGATGTATAAACTTTAAACATGAAGACTTCCATAATTATCGGCCTGCACAAAAATTAAACGATCGAATAATATACTTATTTAAACAACCACCAGACTAACATATTTATTTAGATTTAATGATCATTTATAATTGAATGAGATTATCAAGATTAATTATACTAAAAAATTTATTGGCTTGCGAATATAAGAATTTATCTTTTGGAATATTCAATCAAAACTATTTTCATTATTTGAAGAAAAAATAAAATTTTCGATACATTTATCATTATACAACTATCGTACACTTTTTTTTATGATCATGATTGATTCACTTCACTGATAAAAAGGTTAACTTCATTCAAGAAAAAAAATCTTGAACTACTACTTAAAAAATCTTGAACTAAGTATACCATTTTGAAGAAAATCATTTTCTTGAGTCAAGAGAAAAAATTCTTGGACCAAGAAAAATTTACCTAAAACAAGAATAATTTCGTGACTCAAGAATTTTTCTTCTCAATGCAAGAAACGCAATGCATTTTCTTCGAAATAGTATTATTGGGTCAAAATTTTTTCTCTTGAATCAAGTTATTTTTTTTATCAGTGTTGATAAATAATTTTCTAACCTTCTATTTTGAGATAATATTTTCTGTAAATGTTTCATACAGTCGAACTGTTTTACCCAGTATAAATTTCTCCAATACACTCATTTCTTAAACTTTTGTCACAAATATGAATGAGTTCACCATCAAAATAATCTGTCATAAAGACTTTTGACTGTTTATTTTTTTTAATAGCATATTTTAGTCCTAACTATATACCCGGGAAAAAATGATCAGATCTGATCAGATATGAACAGGCATGAGTCTTCAAGTCTGATCAGATATGAAAAATGACCGGCTCTGATCAGACCTGGCCAGGCATGTTCATGTCTGATCAGATCTGTTCATGCCTGACTCGATTAGGTCCATAAAAAAAAAAAAAAAGATTGGTGCCGACGGGGATTCGAACCATGTACGTTGCGCTCTTCAGACTGATACTTTACCTATTGACCCAATGACTTATTTTAATTCTAGTGTACCTTTAAGTAATTTAAATTTTATATATGACTTGTCCTTATAGTTAACGGAGTTCTATACTTAATTTATTAATTATTAATAATTAATTATACACAGTAAAAAATTTCGCGTCATAGCGTCAAAAAATTTTTTGTTAAAAATTTTTATGTTAAATATTTAACACTTTTTTGTGTTGATTTAACAGAATAAATGTTAAATTCACACTTAAAAGTGTTAAATATTTAACACAAAAATTTTAAACACTAAGATTTTTGACGCAATGACGCAAAAATTTTTACTGTGTATAGGGTAAAAGACCCCATTAGTGACGGGGACCCCATTACTGACACTTTCGTTGATTTTGGTACTTATTCAATTAATAAAATTATTAATTTCAGTAATGAATATATTATTTATAATCTTTAAGACCTTTAGATCAAAAAAATTTTTAATTTTTATTCCAAGTAGAATATTTTTTCATTGAAAGAAAAAGTGCCACTAATAGGGGTTAAAGGTGCCACTAATGGGGTCTTTTACCTTATTAGAGTGATTTATTTGGGACGGCTATGTATCTTTTTCGCTCCATTAACGTATGGTTTTATGTAAAGTAAAAAAAAAATTTCTTCAAGGTTTATTCCGTAATTATAATTTTATTGTTTTCTTTAAAAATTAAAGTTTTTTTTAATTAAAACGTATAGGAAATGAAGAATTATTTATGTGTTCTACAATTTAACAGCCTTTGACACTACTGCAATGGACCAAGGCGTAGCTTAAGATAATAACAGACACCTTGAAAGGACTTATCGATATCAACTGTTATATTTTGATATTTTAACGCTATCAAACTCAAACTTTTACTAAATAATCTTATTTTTCGCGTATTCAATGGAACACAGTAAAAAATTTTATGTCATTGCGTCAAAATTCATCGTTAAAAATCATCGTTTTGGCATGGAAAATTAAAAAGTTTATGCTTATATAAGCCGAAATTTTTGATGAAAGTGGTACATTTAAAATTTATAAGGGGATAGAAACTGATACGTCATACGGAACAAATTAATTTTAAAAATAGAACTGCAGTCTATAGTTCGATAAAATTTTTCTTCCAGACTTAAAATATCATTTAAGAGGGTAAATCATGCATGAACAGTTCTTGTCAGCTGATATATGGAGTTTTAATCATTTTCTATTAGGCTAGAACAGACATGATCAGACATGGACAGGTCTGATCAGGTCTGAGCGTATTTAACGCTTCAGACATGAACAGGCATGGACAGGTCTGATCAGGTCTGAGCATATTTAATGCTTCAGACATGAACAAATATGAGCAGGCATGAACAGGCTTGATCAGGTCTGAGCGTATTTAATGCTTCAGACATGAACAGGCATGAACAGACATGAGCAGGCATGAACAGGCTTGATCAGGTCTGATCAGGTCTGAGCGTATTTAACACTTCAGACATGAACAGGCATGGACAGGTCTGATCAGGTTTGAGCGTATTTAACGGTTCAGACATGAACAGGCATGAACACTCTCTAAACATGAATAAGTGAATATTCACTTATTTAAGTGAGAACCGAGCCACTGACTTGAAAAAGTGGCTCGATTGGCACATAAGTTAAGTGAATATTCACTTATTTGACGAATTTTCACCAATTCAGTTTTAGGGAGCAGACATGGACAGGTCTGATCAGACCAAATTTCAGGCCTGAACAGGTCGGATTTCCGGCATCCATAGCATTTTCTAAACTTAGTATTTACATTTTTAATCGATCGATTAAACAATAAAAGTTGTTTCAAAAAGAATTTTTTTTGAAATTTTTTAAAATAGATATCTTTTAGATGAATTGATAGATTGTGGCGCTTTATACGATACTTGAAATACCCGAATCGCAATTTTTTTTCGCTTAAAACCCATTTCAACCCGAGGCGTAGCCGAGGCCATCATATCACATACGTCAGGAGTAGAGGAGCTAGGAGCATGCTGGACATAGGTAAAGTAGGAATCCGCATACTGACCGAGTGGTTCGTGTCCATGCTAAATTACTGACCATATTTTCAACCCTTTTTTATCATTTAACCATATTTTCAACCCTTTTTATCGACTATCTTGAATTTTAATTTCTGCCGCTTTTGATCCGCGATCTGATGGTCGCTATTTTGAATTTCCGCCATTTTCCCGCCCTCTTTTGAATTTTTATTCCCACCATTTTTAGGCCCCTATTTGAATTTTGAATTCGCCATCTGGTGGCTGCTATCTGCTATTTGAATTCTAAATCTGCCATTTTGAATTGTGAATCCACCGTTTTGAATTTGAGTTCGCCATTTTGAATTATGAATCTGCTATCTGGTGGCTGCTATCTACTATTTGGTGGCTGCTATCTGCTATCTGGTGGCTATTATCTGAATCTGGTGGCTGATATTTTGAGTCTGAATTCCGCCATCTGGCGTTCACTTGCTGCCATTTGAATTGTTAATCCATCATTTTCCTACAATTTTTTGAATCTCGTTATCCAACATTTTCCCGCCATTTTGAATTGTGAATCCGCTATTCTGAATCTAATTTCCGCCATCTGATGGCTATTATCACCCATTTTTAATTTCGAATCCGCCATTTTAAGACAGAAATCCGCTACCTGCTATCTGGTGGTCGCTATCTACCATCTGGTGGCTGCTCTAACGCAATCTTCTGAGAATCTTACGCAATTTCCCCCTCTACACTGTGCTTCCATGATGAGGATTGATCCTCAATTTGCTCTGTGAGACCATCGTTCAGCTTCTGTTCTTGAACTTGAGCACTTAACGTCGAGAAGATATAGATTTTTTATTGATTTTGAAGGCTTCTACACGTTTGATGGATTTTTTACTGTCAAAAAGCTTGCTGTTATCTCGCTATGTGCTGAAGTGGATTTTTTGAGTTCTGCTGCGTTAGCAACTTTCGAACCACCAGCTGAGTACACCAATGAATTCATGGTTTTAGAGACCAAAGATTTTTAGTTGAGAAACCATGGTATTAGATGGTATGAAGGATCATTCTTCTATACCGAACTCAAAGAAGTCCTGCGAGAGACTTTCAAGCACAAAACATACGTTTATGTTTTCGGTGAGGAAAAAAAACGTTGGCTTGAAAACGTAATTAACTTTGCATCTGAAATAATTGATCTATCAAAAGTGAGATTTATCAACCATCTTGAAGACTTTGATCCTATCCAACCGTGTCTCTTGAAGAAAAATCACTCAAGGAAACGCAATTATGCCTTTGTGTATGAAACAGTGCAAAGAATGAAACGTTGGTTTCTCAGCTGTTGGGGGTTTGAATCCATCGCTGGAAAAGTCATAACAGCTTTTTTATCAGCTCCAGTCTTTAGTTAAGATGGATCCACAAGATATTGCCTATTTGGATGAATCTTTCATACTTCAATTCACAAAACATGAAATTAATGCCATATGGTCAAAGCTCCCTGAACGTATGAGGACGGATTCAAGATTTATCAATTATACAAGATGTACAGAGCATTATAGAACTATGTACACTTCTCACAAAAATTAAGGGAACAAAAAAATTTTCGAAATTTTTTGGCGATTTTCAACAGGCTGTATTTCAGTGAAAAATGGCCAAACAGGAAATAAAAAAACAAAACTTTTGAAGCTTGAAGACTCTAGTTTTCAGATTTTTTGGTTGAAAATTTTTCGGAGCACTGATAGCCATGCAATCCTTAAATAAAGCACGAAGAAAAAATTTTCTAAATTTTTTACATTTTTTTTTCGCTCTACGGGCATGGAAAAATCTTTTCGAGGTAGACCAATGCATAGGTCGCATAGCCTGCTTATTCAGCTTCAATTTGCTTTTTGCGGGACCCGAATACGACCATTTGTCTTCGAGATATCGAATTTTGAATGCAAAAAGATCCTTTTTCACTTAACTGCCGATATCTCTGGAACTACTGGTCGCCCAGCCAGCAGACAAGGGGTTTCATTTTCTGCAGAAAATTTTCTACAAAAATCTGTCATGGTTAATTTAAAAAAAAAATTTTTCCACCTGTAACGTTAACGTAAAAAAAGA